CCCGCTCCCCACCCCATCCCTGTCTCTCCCTCTTTGCCCCCCCATTTTCTCTGTCGCTCTCTGCAATGGACTGAATTGTGTCCCCCTAAAATTCATATGTTGCAACCCCAACCCCAATACAACTGTATTTGGAGATAGGCTCTTTAGGAGGTAATTAAGGCTAAATGAGGATAAAGTCGGGGCCCTAATCTGATAGGCCTGGTGGCCTATATGAAAAGGAGGGTCCCTCACTCTCCGCCCCTCCCCCACCCCCATGATGTGCGCACCCTCAGATGGGGGCCACCTATAAGCCAAGAGGAGAGACCTCAGAATAAAACCTACCTGTTGGCACCTTGACCTTGGACTTCCAGCCTCCAGAACTATGAAAAATAAATTTCTGTTGTTCTAGCTACCCAGTCTATGGGATTTTGCTATGGCAGCCCGCACAGACTAATACACTCCCCCTCTCTCTGTCTCTGTCTGTCTGTCTTCTCTCTATTCTGCCTCTAGGCACTCCCTCCCTCTCTCTTCCTCTCTTTTTCTCTCCCTCCCTCCCTCCGCAGCAGACCCTGACTTTTCCGTAGCACTGTTGCCATCTGCTGGTCAGTGTCAGGCTAGCAGGCAAGGTGCAGGCCTCAGAGAGGCTTTGCCAACCCCAGGGCTGCCAAAGCCAGGGCAGGGCAGCCCCCTCCTCAGGCAGCACTGCCCCCACCCCGACCCCCGACACGCCCCAGCCAAGGATGAGAGCCTCTCACCACCCTTCATTTGCCCTCCTTCACACCACAGAATCTGGCACACCTCGATTCCTGACTCATAAACAAACACTACCACTGACCCATTTCTTTATCAACCCCCATTCACACCTACTCCCTCATTGCATGGCACACAGTAGGTGCTCACGAATGTTCCTTGAGTGACTAAAGGAAGACACGCCCTTTGGGGGATCTGATGGGTTCTCATCTTTGGAGGCTCAGAGTATAGGACCTGGAAGCCTCTTGCTCCTGGTCAGCCCCCACCCGCCGCCTAGCTCAGTGCCCTCGCTGGCTCCAACTCGCCCCTGCCCACCTGGATGATGTCCAGGAGGGGTGCAGGACAGCTGGCCCTGAGGCAGGTGAGAGATGATCCCACCTGTGAGCCATCGGTGCCCTTCCTCATGCGCGGTCTCCTGTCACTCTCCCCTCCAGGCTCTACAGCACCCCAGCTGCTCCCATCTCAGGACCCCTGCAATCACCGTTTCCTCCCCCCAGAGTCACAAGGCTGATGTCTCTTGTCCATCTCTTAGGTCTCAGCTCCAGCAACAGCCTCTCAACAAGGCCCCTCCCCCAGGACCACGGTGAGCTGGAACTCTGCAAGCCACCCCAGGCCTGCTGGAGAGAGTGCCACGGGAGGGAGAGAGCTGCATGGAGGTAGCTCGTCGCAGCAGACTGCACCCTGGCGCCTGGCCTGGACGGAAGGGCAGACCTCCGCTTCAGAGGTGAAGGAGGCGGGGGCAGAGAGCACCCAGAGGGCAGGAGCAGAGTCAGCCACAGGTGCAGCCACTTCGGGGACCTCAGGCAGCACGCGGGGGTGGGGGGATGAGAATAGAACCCCAGCGATAAGCTGGAGCGTGTCATGGGGGACATCGAAATCCACATGAGGAGGTATGAACTTTTTCTGTTGGGTAATAGGGAGCCTGAGGGCCAATATGAAAGATGTGAAAGTCACAGCGACTCACAGCCACACAGGGTCACCCTGATGAGCGGGGTCAGGATCAGGAGCCAGGCAGGGAACTGGGCGCAGGAGCGGAACAGGCGCGGTGAACGCAGCTAGCTCAGCAGTCACAGCTCCGGGGCCCGAGCCCCAGGGGACCCACAGAAACGCACACCTGGCGCCCTCTTCAGAGCAGAGTGGGTGAAGTGGGTCCAGCCTGTCTTTTAGTGACACCCCAGCTCTGCCTGCCTCAAGGCTTTCAGAGCCCCCAGCCTTCTGGAGAAGTTGGGGGAGGGGGAGTGCCTGCTGAACTGAGGCCAGAGTCACTCTTCACCTGCATGACCCTTCATTACCTCCCTGTGAGGAAGTAGCCCTCTGCTTTGTAAGCTGATCATGTCGGTTGGTGTTTTACACCTGCTTATTGTGTTAGAAAAGCTTTACATGGATCAATTCTGGCTACAACCACGGGATGCAGGCATGGTTATCAGTCCCAGACTGTTCTACATCCACGTAAGGAAACTGAGGCGGAGAGTTTAAAAATCCTGTCCACAGTAACACGGGGAGTAAGTGGCAGAGCCGTCACTGATGGCGGTCTGGCTCTACCAAGTGCCTCACTGCCCTGAGATGAAGAGGGGTGTGTCATCTCTCGCTCCACCGAGGTACCACAGGACTCTGCTCAGTCCCTGTGGCTAACATCCCATCAGGCCGCCTGCCTCAGTGGACCCCAAACCCTGGCAGCCCCCCTCTCCAGCCTCACAGGGATGTCCACGCCTTCACCCTCCCATCCGGGTCCCCTTTCACCCTTTCTCCTGAAAGCCTCAAACAGGAGAGACAGCTAGGAATCAGTCAGCCCCACAGACTGCTTGGGACAGCCACACTGCGGCCACCCACGCCTCCTGCCGCCTGGCCGCTGGAAGGCCCACATTTGGAGCGTCTCAGCTGACTCCAGCGGAGAAGTCCCCGCACCATCGCCCACTGCCACCGTGCTGTGATTAATCTCTGAGTGCCCGGAGCTTTTAATTAACTGTCAGCCCTGCACGGGCAGCTGTTCCACAAACCACATCTGATTGGGGCTCCCCCAATCCTGGCTGATGGAACACTTCAGAAGTCACGCAAATGATGCTTGGATATTTTGGGGCTGCAGGAGTGGCAGCTGCAGCGACTGCAGCCCTGATGGAAACCCCAGGAGTGAGGAAAGAAGGCAGCTATCAGCTGGGGGAAGTCTACACAAGATCTGTGAGTGTGCTGATGTGCTGTGATGTTAACTCAAACAAGCAGAGTAAAGACACCCACAGGTGCCACGTAACCAGAGAAGATGGGACTTCAGGCACAGCTGGATCCAGGCGCACCAGTGGAGCTACCAGGGCAGATGGGCCTGAAATTGGGAGAGTACCTGCGTCCTGGATGAGCCATTTGAATACTGGAGCTTACTACATGAGGCAGAGATGAGGCAGCGATGTTGTCACATCCCCAGGTGGGGACTTCCCTTGCTTCTCTCTGATTCAGTCATTTCCTCCCACCTCTGGACCTCCTATGATAGCCTCGCCCATTTAATTTTAACCATTTGGCCACGTGTCTGTGTTGTCCAATGGGACAGGGCTTCCCAGCTTCAGCACTGTAGGGGCTGGACAGTTCCTTGTGGGAGTGGGGGGTGGGGCTGTCCTGGGCCCTGTAGGAGGATTAGCATCCTTGGCTCCACCACGAGATGCCAGTAGCACCCCCTCCCCGAGTTGTCACCACCTAAAATGTCTCCAGTCATTGCTAAATGTCTGCTGCTGGGGCAGAAGCCTCCCCAGTGAGAGCCCGTGCCATAGACATTGAGACATGGGACGTGTCCCCTGCAGGGCCTGAGACCCGGTGGGGCCCCAGTGATGCTTGGAGGGCGGAAGCCAAGGGAGGAGGGGGAGGTAAGCGCGGCTGTGAGAAGGCAGGGAGAGCTGGCAGAGGGAGACTGCTGGTGGGGTGCCTGTCCCCTCCTTCCTGCAGCCCCCACGTTCTCACCACTCCCCTGGGTGGGGGGGGGTGGCATTTCTCTTCAAATTACCACGCTAATGATTGGGCTGGGGCAGCAGAGGGAGGCTGGAACTTGGCACCCGACTTCATGGAGAGGGGGCAGGGCGAGCTTATGCGGCCAGCTCCAATCTGGCCCCAGCATCTGGGGTCAGCCACCCCTTGTCCACCTGCTGGGCCAGGCCTCCAGGCTGGGCTTTTGCTGGGAAGCGGGGAGTAGAGCGGAAGGAGCCCTGAGCCACCCTTCTGGGCAGCAGGACAAGCCCTCCAAGAGCCCCAGCCAAACCCCAAAGCTCCTCCTCACTGATTCTCACTTCCGGCCGTTGGCTGGACTGGCTGAAGTCATTTCTGTGCTGTCCCTCTGCCTCGGGCCCCCAGCCTGGCCCTCCCAGGGCATTCATTCTGGGAGATCTGTGTTCCTATATCGGGCCATGTGTGTGTCCATAGTGTGCAACCATTTATTAAGCACCTACTGTGTGCTTGGCTTTTTATCCAGATAGCTCATTAAATGTTCACAATTACTTAGAGTAGGAACTATCACTGGCTTTATTTTACAGAAGAGAAAACTTATACCAGAGAGGTTAAGTGACCTGCCCAAGGACACACAGCTGGTGCATGGTGAATTCCCATGTGCCCCAAATATCTGCAACTTCACAAAGCCCTTGGCTATCGCGTGAGCCCCTCCCAATACCCCCATGAGTGGAGCAAGGCTGATATAAGTGCCATTTACAGGTGAAGCACCCGAGGTCTGTGGAGAGGCAGCCTCCCCGGGTCCAGGTAATCAGGAAGCCACAGAGAAGGGCATGGACCCAGTCAGTCACTCTGACGCCAGCCCCGCACTGCCGGCTGCTCTGCCCAGCCTCTCTGTAAACCCCTCGGCATGTGGTCTGCTACCAGGTGTGTCAGGGAGCTCCCCACTCCTTCCCAGCGCTCAGCCCTCCCCCTCTCTCCCCGCAGCAGAGCGCTCACGGTCACAGGTCAGGGCTTTGTTTAGAGCAAGACCTGGACAGGCCCCTCCGTCAGGATCTGGAAGGAGGGTGCTTGGGGTCAGGCGGATGTGAGTCCAGCTCCATGGCACAGGACCCAGACACGAGGGCCTGGGAGACTACACGTCTCTGAACCGTGAGCTCCAAACCTGCAAAACGGCATAAGAACCTCTGCGGTTCAGAGAGGAGGAATAACTGTGTCCTTATGCCTTTGTAAAGTGGTTGGAATTATTGCCTAGTCTGGGGATTACAAACTCAGATGTCTTCAGGGGACAAGCAGAGGACATAGGTGGGTGAAGGGGTCAGGGTGGGGCCGTGGCAGCACACCTCTGTCTCAAGGGGGGAAGTCTAGCCCGGTCACACCCAATGATTTATTTATTAAACAGATCTAAACTCCGAACTAATGAAGTTCATGGGGAGAGCGCAGGATGAGTTTCTCATGGCCAGCCCCACACTGACCGCTGGATCAAGTTGCCCAGCACCTGGGGTCAGCCACCCCTTCCTAAAACGCTTCACGGGCAGAATAAAATACATCTGTGAGCCAAATATCACTCGCCCCGGTTTGCAGCCCCTCTGGAGTCCTATTCATGGACAAGTTGAAACGCAGGACCTAAAGGCAGAGCAAGGCCAAGGTCAGGCAGCCACAGCCAACGAAGCCAAGCCAGGGGCCTCCTCCAGCCCTCTGGCGCCCTCACCAGCCCAGCCCCCCAGCTCCACGCTGCTCCTCAATGCTCTCCATCACCCTCAGAGCCCTCCAGCCCCAGGCCTGTGCCCCTGGGAAGCCAGCTGCCTCCTTGGGCGCCAAGAGCAAAGGAAGGACATTGACAGGACAAAGGAGACTGCAGGGCGCTGAACATGCAAACCGCAGCCCGTCCCCAGCGCATCCATCCTGCAGCCTAATTGAGACATTTGCTTGGAGTGTCCTGGAAAAGTAGGGCGGATGTAGCGCTCTGAGAGTCCAACCACCCTCCTCCGACGCCCTGCTGAGACTGGGGACCGATGGTTGTTCTTGGGAACGTGGACCAGCCACAGGGAAGCAGTTCTCGCTAATAAGATTATATATATTTTAAATGACCCTCGAGAATTGCAGTGATACTGGGTATTAAAATGCCAGAAAGGAGGACAAAGTAAAAAAAGGCAGGTTGCCCATCTCTACAGGAACCATGCAGCACCGAGTGGAGAACCCCCTGGGGGTTTCGCCTCAGGTATCCCCCCAACCTGAGCTGGGATGCTTGGAGGTATGTTCAGACCTTTCTCGACCCTTGATAGGAGGCTGCTGCTTGAGCCCCGTTTCTCAGACTCCTCTCTTGGAACCCCAAGGTGCTGTCAGGGGCTGGGAGTCAGGAGAGCTGGGCTCCGTTCCTGGCTGTACTATTCCCAGTCCAGCGGACTTGAGCGAGTCTCCCCGCGCTCTCTGCCTCATCGGTCTTCTGTCATTTGGCCTGAGGGACCGCCCGTCTGTATTGAAGTGCTGAAGGCCTGCAGTGGGCATCCTCAGGCCTGAGCAGGGCCACACGGGCTTTGTCCAATCAGCGTTGCTTTTCACATTTGGTTCCATCTAGTTTCGCCTAAACATCTGGAGTTCTGGCTTTTCTTAAAAACTCGGACGACCTGGCCACACAGGGCTGACCTTCCTTCACTCACGGCCATAATGGCGAAGCCACTTGCCAGCTCACTCCACACACCCCACTGCCTTACGCTCAGCCAGCCCCTCGCCTTGATGGTACCTGCCTCGCACTTGAACTTGAGACCCCGATTTAATGCAACAGGTATGAAAAGTCTTAGGGGGAAGTACACAGATTCCAGGCCTCATCACTATTCATGGAATTTCCGGGCCCCCCACTGTTTTCCATTGTCCTCGGCAGGCGTTTTGGTCTCCTCCCTGTCTGTGAAATGAGCGAGTACTAGGGGCCCAAGAGCATTCTTGCTCTGACACTCGGGTGTCAGGGCTCTTGCAGTCTAGGCGCTTCCTTGGCTGTCAGAGAGCTTGACTGCCAAGGATCTGCTGTGGTATCTGTTAAAGGCGGGCGCGGGGGAGGGAGCTGTTCACAACAATGCGATTAACAGCGGGTTTGCCGTATAACGCAGCAGAGGGCAGAAGGCAGAGAAAAGACGTCCTCAGAGTGCTGAAAAAAGTGTTAACCAGGAATTGTATTATCCAGCAAATCTTCCTTCAGAATCATGGGAAAATAAAGGCATTTCCACATACACAAACTAAAAGAATTCATTGCTAAAATCCTGCACATATATTGTAAAATGAATAAAGCCAGATGCAAAAGACTAGGTATGCATAATTCTGTTTATTTAAAACTCAAACAAACAAACAAAAAACCAAATCTATCAAATCGGAGGAGGATAGTGTTTACCCTTGGAGGGGGCAGTGACTAGCAGTGTCCATAAGGGACCGTTCAGGGGTACTGGTTGCACAGGTGTCTTCATTTGTGATTCTGAAACATTTCTGTGTACATAGCTTCCGTCAATAAAATTTACTAACACAAAAAAGGAAGCCTGATCAGGTCACTTTCCTCCCCTGTTTGAATTCCATTATTGTTTTCCCTTTGCTTCCCTTCCCTTCCCAGCCTGAGCCAAGACCGCCACGTTTGTATCTGGTCTGGCCTCTGCCTACCTCTCCAGCTTCACTTCTCACGAGCCTCCCTGGCCTTCTGTTGTTCCTCAAGTATGCGTGCTTCCATCCTGCCACAGGGCCTTTGCACATGCTCGTCCCTCTGGTCCAGAGCCCTGTTGAGGCTCACCTTCTTACTCTTTAGCTTGTGTGACTCACCCACCCCCCATCCAAGTCTAGTTCTTTTGTCACAGGCGTTCATAGAATTACATTCCTTTCCTTCTGTGCATTTCTCTTCGTGTGTTGTTATGGAGTCATAGAGTTATTATTTGTCTGCTGTTTTGTCTTTCCCACTAGCCCATATGCTTTAGGAGGGTCTATGTTTTTCTCTTGTATTGAATACCAGCACCATGCCTGGCACATAGTAGGCATCTGAGAACTACCTGTTCAATGAATATAAAAGTAATCGAGACAGTAAAAAACTTCATTCTGATTATGAATGAAAGCCTGGATGCCAGACTGAGGAATTTATTATTTTTTTTATAGGCTACAGGGAGCCACTGCGGGTTTTTGAGAAAGGGAACTATGTAAGCTGACCTTTGTTTCAGTAAGATCTTAATGGACGTGGGGATGGAGAGGCCATGGAGGAGGCTGTGGCGGAGGCCAGGTGAGGGACAGTGCCTACAGAGGGGCAGTGGCCACTAGGGGAAGCCAGCGTCCCGCTCCACTCGGACCCCATGGGCCAGCCTGAGAGTGACCTCACAATCACCCACTGGGCCTCCCCACCTGTTAGTCCCAGTATCCCAGCCGCTGGCCTAACTCTGCCCTTTATGTTCACACCTAGGGAAGCTACGCTGCCATCTGAGTCATCTGGGCCAGCAACCAGAGACAGAGGGGTCCACCAAGTGAGAGCATGCCACCTTCTTACCCGGGGCACAGTCCAGACGCCACAATGGCAGAGAAGCCAGAGGACCCAAAGGATTTCATGCCCACAGAGAGGAAGTCCATGTGGAAGACGGCCGAGGAGAGGCGAATGTCTGACCTCGCACGGGTGCTGCAGTGGTTGGAGCGGAGGCACAGGAAGAAAAAGGAAGCCGTCCAGGTGTGTGCTGTTAGAGGAAAATGGCAAGGCAGGCTTTACTCAAGACGACTGCAGCAGGGGAGAGGCTACACTGGACTCCAGAGAGAAAAAGGCAGGAGAGCCCTTCCCCTGGGTGAAAGGTAGAGAAGTGCTGGAGGAAGTGGGGGGCTGTCCCTGTGACGAGGCTGGCTGTGCTCGCTCCTTGTCGCCATGTAGTTAGGCTCCTACGCTCCCACACAGACGGAGGTGGGCACCATCTTTCCTGAGGAATACACTTCAGAGGCATGGCTCCCAAGTCCTTGAAAAGAAACTTTCCTGGATTGCAAAAATGGCACGAGGCTGGAAGATTTGTATATTCAAGGGCAGGGAGAGAAGGTACAAGTGCGAGTTTCCTAAAGGGTTTAAATGCTCCAAGAAAAGGAAGCTGACGGGCTTAGAGTAAGGAAAACGCCTGTCTAGTTTAGCCAAGGTGAGGGGAACGTTAAGGCCATCTTGGTCAGTGTTTGAGAAGGTTTGAGGGGCAGCAGCTTCTGGGGTCTCAGTGTTGGCAGGATGGAGCCCTTCCCACTGTCCCCAGACACTTCTGTCCTCATGATGGCTCCAAGGTCAAGGGGCATTCATTGTCCCTTGCCAGCATCGCCACTGGGACCCCTTCTAACATACCTCTCCCTTCTACCCTGCATCGGAACCAGTTCTAAGCAGCCTGGCTTAGCTCGGGCTGCCAAAACAGAACGCCATAGACTGCGTGCTTATCAACAACAGAGATTTATTTCTCACAGCTTTGGAGGCTGTGAAGTCCTAGATTGAGGCGCTGGCAGATTTGGTGTCTGATGGGAGCCCGCTTCCTGGTTCATAGATGGCCGCCTTCTCACTGTGGCCTCGCATGGCAGAAGAGAGAGGAAAGTTCCCTGAGGCCTCCTTTATAAGGGCACTAATCCCATTCATGAGGCTCCACCCTCACGACCGTATCACTCCCAGAGGCCCCACCTCCTGAGACCATCACATTGGGAGTTAGGATTCCAACATAGGAACAGTGGCGGGGTGAGGGGCACAAGCATTCAGTCTATAGCACTGCCCTACCCCCTTTTTCCAGGAACTGTGGCAACCAGTTTTGCCTCGGTTTCCCCTGAGTGCCCCTGAGCCCATCACCTATGGAAAATCAAGCCATGTCCTTGGAATAGAGTCTCCTCTGCAGAGGGTTTCACCTGATCTTCTCTCCCCTGGTCCCCAGAGAAAAATGGGTGGAATGTGGCATTACGAATGACGAATGAGGACGCTTTATCAGTGTTTCCCTGTGCTTAGCATTACAATGAGTGTCCCATCAGCTGCTCCCAGCAAGCCTACAAGGTGGGCGCCATTCTCACTCCCCAGATGAAGGGGAAGGAAGAGGGTCATTTGCTTGCGCTCACAGGATTCATGGGGGCCGAGCCAGGACTCAGACTCAGGTTGATCCAGTTCCCAAGCTCAGGGGCTGGTCAGGCCAACTCCCCATCACCACCTGCGTTTTCTCAGCTGTATCCAGCCAGCACTGCCTGCCTCTCAGGAAAGCTCCCATTCCGTTTATGTGCTTCCTTGTCACCTCTAGTCAGAGAGCTGGAGTGCCACTTCCATGGACAAGCATATTTCACACCAAGGTGCTAACGAGGTGCTGATGGCCTACCTCCTGCCCCCACCCCCGTTTCTGGGGGGTGTGGAGGCTTGACTGCTGGGTAATTGATAGAACTCAGTTTACTATCAATCACAGAATTTATATTCACCTCCATGATTAATATGTTTGGTCCCATTTCTTCTCACTAAGATTCTATTCTAATAACGTTTTCACAGCTCTACATTATATGTGGCTTTTATTGTAAATAATTTTGGACCCAGGGAGGGAACAAATTTAAATTGGAAACACAATTAAATCTTCAAGCATCATTACCCGTCCCAGAAGCATTTGGTTTTTGAAAGAAGCGTCTAAGAAAAAGGGTGGTGCTTCTGTGGCAGGTCTCAGCCAGCCCACGTGGCAGGGGGACCCTTAAGTGCGGGTGTTTGGAGGGGTGCCCTCTGTGGACTCCTCTCCCTCGTCCTGGAGCAGGCCCTCATTTCAGCACAGCCTGTGGTACTGTCCAGAGGGCTGTGCCCCTTGTGACCCATTTGGCGTCAAAGAAGACCCCAAAGGTCCAAAGTCTTGGCTATTGGGGCCACTAACTCAGTGGCTATTGCAGTACCCTTGGGTCCATGGCGTCTTTCACTCAGCTATGCCCAAAATGGGGGTGGGGAGATACTCCGATGGCTCCTAAGGAGAGGCTGAGGGTTGCGGGGAACGGTGTGAAGAGACCTACCTCTGGAGGAGCTAGCCTTAAGCCCCTCTCCTCCCAACCTGAAAATTCAGTCCTGGCCCCAATGTGTACCCCCCTCTCCCTGCTAAGTCAAACAAACCCCAGGGCTGACCAGCACCCTCTCCGCAGATGACCTTAAGCATGCCCTTGGGCCGGCTTATGAAAACGCTCCTTCTGCCCACATAATATCACTAACATAAATGGAAGGCTTGGTGCTTCCATGCGGTAATTCATTTATTTCTAACAATAACCCTACGAGGCAGAGCCTACTATTATCCCCATCAGCAGACAAGGAAACCAAGCCAGAGGGAGCAGTCACTTGCCCAAGGCTGCTCAGCCACTAAGCCACAGACAGGACTCCAAGCCAGGCTGTCTGACCCAGAGACTCGTCTCAGCCACCATCTCCCCACAACCACGAGTGGTACACCTGGAGAGGAGAGCCAGTCGAGGAGGCTTTTCCTGCAATGCTTTAGCACCCACCCCAGCCCTTATGGGTTCTGGATGCCCCTCTGCAGGCCCCCCCTCCCTAATTAGGGACCCTGGTGCTCGCTCATGCACCCGTGCTCCCTGCCTGCCCCGTGGGAGTGGATGGACGGCCAGGCATGTGCACAAGGAAGCCCATTCAAGGCACGTGTGCTCTGCCCTTGATGGCTGCAAGGACCACCTGGGAAGTGAGAAAGGCGGGATGAATTGTGATGACAGCTCTGGGAAGACGGGGTGAGGTGGGTGTGGGATGAGGGCAGGAGGGGGTTCTGGGGACAGAGGGAAAGTCCTGCTGGACTTGAAGACAAGGTGGCCTCCCTGTGGCTCCAGACTGGAGGCCATGGCAGGGAAGTCGCAGCTAGAGAGGCCATTTGGGGGCCGGAAGTGGGGCTCTTACATGGAGAGCGATGGGGAGCTAGTGATGGATTCTGAAATGAAGAGGGACAACCAGACTTGAGGGCGGTGTGACATAGACCAGGGCATGTCTGGAGGCAGAGGGACTGAGAGGGGACAGGCGTGCCATAGGGACTGAGAGGGGACAGGCGTGCCATATGGGAGCTAAAGCTCTGGGTGGGTGGAAGGGTGCAGCCCACTCGCCAAGGAGCTTCCCCTTCGTGGGGTGAGAGTGTGGTCTGTGCCCACCGGAGGGCATCACAGTGCTTCCCTCCCTGCCCTTTCAGAAGAGTAAAGCCAAGGTGGTGGTACCCACTAAAGCAACTGGGAAGCAAGAAAAGAAAGCTCAAACCCAAAACATCCCCAAACGGCAGAGGGAGAAACAACATGTGTCATTCTCTGAGCAGGTAACACAGCCCCCCCTACCCCCACCCCCATCCCCACTGGGCTCCCCATATTGAAGAAGGGTACTCACTCTGTTCCCGCAGTGTCTGGCTACTTTAAAAATCTTTTTATTTAAGGCTCTAAAATCCACTCCTGCCTCACACTGACACAGAAATGAATGCCCCCCCCCCCGCCATCCAGCTCCCACTCAACAAACTAGTGGAAGACTGGCACTCCTGTGGTAAAGGTTCATGTGTTCTTCCTCCCCCCCATTCCCAAATTATTCAGGAACGCCATTGGAGAGATGAGAACACCCAGACCTAACTGCCCGCGGGGCTGTGGGTTCTATGGCCCCTCATGGCCTCCCTGAGATACGGAGTCACGAAAGTAAGGCGTTGTGGACGGGCACCAGTTTCTATCCCTGCCCCCCAACCCATCCCAGGCCCCAGAACGGGTCTGTCCTTTAATCCACTTTGCAGCAAACTCTTGAAATCACTCATTTTGTGTGTGGAGGAGGCCAAACCAGAACCTGTTGCCCTGGCAACTTCTCTCCTGCTCTTTTCCAAGACTTCAGTGCCGAAAACCAGGAGGGACAGGGACGCCATCATGTACCGAAGGCTCTATGGAGTGGATGCAAAGGGGAGACACCTGAGCATGGTGCCCGGCAACTACCTCAAGGATGGCCCTGGGAAATCTGGTAAGGGAAGCGCCTTGGTCCCAGACGCCAGCATCATCCTCCATAATTGGAGGACAGAACAGAAAGAAAAGAAGGTGCACACTGTTCTTAGGGCAGCAGCGTCCACAGCTACCCGCCTGTTGTGGATGCTGGGCTCGCCTACCTTCCAGCTTACATCGTTTCCAAAGAGAAGTTGGCCGCCATCTTTATGTCTGTTCCACTGTGATGTATCTTTTCCCTTTGGCTTCTTTTAAGATTTTCTTTTTAAGCGATTTGGTTAACATGCACGTTGATATCATTTGCTTCATGTTTCTTGTGTTTGTGTTTGCGGTTTGTTGAGATTCTTGGCTTATAGTTTTCATCAGATTGGAAACATTTTGGCCATTATTTCTTTAAATATTTTTTTTCAGTGCTCCATTCTCTTCTCTCTCTTTTGGGTATCACAATACACATACTTGAAGTCCCACAATGCTCTTTTTTTCCCCCCAGTCTTTTCTTTTTGTGTTTCATTTTTAATATTTCCTGTTGCTATGTCTTCAAGTTCACTAATCTTTACTTTGCAATGCCTAATCTGCTGTCCCAGAGGCCCCTTAAACTCTCCTCATTTTTTTGGATTCTTTTTTCTTTTTGCTGTTCTGATTGAGTGTTTTCTGCTACCTTATCTTCCAAATCGCTTATTCAGTCCTCTGCTTCATCTTATCTACTGTTGATTCCCTCTAATGTAGTCTTCATTTCATTCTTCATTTCTGTCTGGTTCTTTTTTATGTTTTCTACCTCCATTTTTACGTTTCCTATCTCTCTGTTGAAGTTTTCCCTGAGATCACTGAGCATCCGTATAACCAGTGTTTGGAACTTTGTAGGTTGCTTGTCTCCATTTTGTTTAGTTCTTTTTCTGGAGCTTTGTTCTGTTCTTTCATTTGGGACAAGTTTCTTTGTCTCTCTATTTGGCTGCCTCCCTGTGTTTGTTTCTATGTATGAGGTAGAGCTGCTATGTCTCCCGGTCTTAGTAGAGTGGCCTTATTAGTAGGTGTCCTGTGGGACCCAGTGGTACAGTCTCCCTGGTCACCTGAGCTGGGTGCTCCAGGTGTGTCCCTTGTGTGGGTTGTGCATGCCCTCCTGTTGTATTTAAGTGCTTGTTGCTGTTTGCACAACAGTGGGAGGGATTGACCCTCAGGCTGATTGGTTGTGAGGATGCTGTGACTATAGTGCAGTAGCTGTGGAGCAGGATTCACTTCGGCAGGGTGCTAGTGCCTGCCCAGTTTGCCCTTTGGGTGTGTCATTTGTGGAGGTGGCTGTGTGGTGCTCTCGTGGGCCTGGAACTGGCCACCAGGGGCCTTTGTGCGTGCTGCTCCTTTTGCCTGCAATACTTTTCTCCCTTTTTCATCTACTAAACTATGTGTCCTTTAAAAACCCAGCTCAAAGTTGCTCTCCTTCGATATCCTCCCTTACCCCCTGTAGGCTGAAGTCCCTTTTAGGTGAATTCCATCTGTGGAGGGAGAGAAGATAAGGCTGAGAGAAGGGGATAAAGGAAAGGAGGGAATGGAAGGGAATCGGAGAGTCAGGGAGAGAGGAGGGGGGAAAAGATAAGGATTAAACAAACGCCTAAGAAGGAGAGCCTGCCGAAGCCTTGGGAAGACCTGTGGTGTCAGAGCGGGTATCGCTTGAAGCCATGCAGTCTTTCAAGTCCACCCCCCTCCTGCCTACCCGACCTCTACCAGGATCTAATGCCCAGCGACATCTGTCCAATTTCAGACTTAGACATCAAGGATGGCTTCGGCATGGAGCCCAGTCAGCGGTCAATGTCATTCCGTCGACAAACCATTGTAGACCCCATGTTACAGGATGCGATCTTTGCCGGGCGGAAGTCGACCCTCCTCAGAGACTGGGTGGGAAAGACACCCGACTCTTACGAGCGCAAGATGAAGAGCCTCATGGAAAAGGGCACCGAGCCCAAGATAGAAGTGACGAAAACTCTGACGCCAGAAGAGGTGCTCAGCTGCCGGTGAGCGGCCGGCCTGCGGGGGGCGGGTCCCGGGAGGACAGGCTCTGCTACAGGCTCTGCTCGCTGGCTGCGTCTCTGGTCCAGACACCCGGGCTGAGCTGGAGATCGTGGAGGGTGGCCTCCGTGTGACTGGGCTCCGTCTCTGCGTCCCAAAGGGCTGCCCCGGGGCAGAAGCCTCACCTGCTAGTGGGCCATCTCCCGGATGGACACAGCATTTAGGTGCTGCCATCTTGAGGAGGCCACGGCACCTTTGGGTGTTTATGCAACCTTTCCAATATTTCCATTTGTGCCACAATGGAAACCCTGCATGTTATTCAAAGAGGAAAGAACGGGCTGTTTGTGGCCTTCCTGTCTAATAGGAAATGCCCCTTAAGAGCCTTTCCACTGGTGTTGAATTGCTGTGCTAGCAGCCACCTTCCCCAGTGGCTACCTGCTGTAGGTTTTGGTTTTTAGACTCGTGAAGGGATCGCGAACAAAGTGTGGAACCACTTGGGATTTACTGCTCTTCCAAAGGGGCCTGCCTCCCTTCTCGCTTGTTCTTTATTTATCAGGACGCACTGGTTTTCACCCACACCAAACAGTTCCGTTTCCATTCCAAAATTCCAGCATCCCTCCCCAACCCAGTGTTATCCTTTACTGTAAAGATGTAACCGACAAAGTTCAGAAACTTCAGGAGAGGAGGAACTGGGACAACGCGATGCTGCAGTGGTCCTCCTAAACAGCAGTGGGTTTAAGAGGCCGGGCATCCGGCGGCCCCGTCACGCTGTCCTGCTCTGCTGGCCGACTGGCTGCAGATGAACAAGCAGCCTCCTTGGCCAAAGCGGGCTCCTTGCTCTTGTCGCATCCATGGCTGGATGACTTTGGCTGTGGCTTTCAGATTGACAGAGTGGATCTTTTTATTTTTCCAAGGGTTTTTTAATTTTTTCAAATACAGTTGACATATAATATTATATTAGCTTCAGGTGTACAACACAGTGATTAGATGTTTATATAACTTATGCAGTGAGCACCCTGATAAATCCAGTACTTGTCAGATACCACACATCATTATTACAATACTACTGATTATGTTCCCTATACTGTACTCTACATCCCTGTGACTATTTCATAACTATCAATTTGTGTTTCTCAATCTCTTCCCTCCTTCACCCATCCCCAAACTCCACCCCCACCCCGCAATCCGGCAACAATCAAAATGCTCTGTATCCATGACCTTGTTTCTGTTTTGTTTGTTCATTTATCCTGTTCTCTAGAGCCCACATATAAGTGAAATCATATGACGTTTGTTTTTCTCTGACTCACTCTACTGAGCATAATACCCTCTAGGTCCATCCATGTTTCTGCAAATAGCAATATTTCATTCTTTTTATGGATGAATAATATTCCATTGTATATGTGTACCACCTCTACTTTATCCACTCATCCACTGATGGACAGCCAGCTGCCTCCGTGTCTTGGCCACTGTAAACAATGCTGCGATGCACATATGGATGCACACGTCCCCTCAAAGTAGCATTTTACGTTTCTTCGGATGAATACCCAAAAGTGGGATTACTGGGTCGACAGGGTGGTTCTGACTCTGACCAACAGACAGCTTACCTGGGCTCCATGGTGAGGAGAAAAGCGATGTGGACAGGGCCCCTACCCTCCAAGGGAAGGGAAGAATATTTGGAGAGATGATATCTAACAAGCCATTAGACAAACATCCAAGAAAAGGATGAAATTTTCTTCAATGGGATCTTAGTGAGTGCCCACTTGCACATACGTGTGGGACCCTCCAGGGCGGGGCTGGCCAGGGAGGGAAGGGGCAGACTGTGGCTGGAGCTGCCAGGGAAAGGCAGCCCGGTGCGGGGACTGGCAAGTGGGGTCTGAGCTGGCTATAAGGACAGGTAAGCTCTGGGCAAGAGAAGCCAGGCCATTCCTAGGGGGGAGAAAACCCAGGTTATATCAATAAGCAGCTCCTCCCGCATCGCCTGGAGCAAAGTAACCAACCAGCCTGAGTAGGGGGCCTGTGTCCTTAAACTAAAGCCAGGAGCAAGGTCAAAGGTGATGGTGGAATATAAAGCTCGCAGGACACGGTGACGGCAGAGATACTCTCTAGATCTCACAGTACAGTTGGGATCAGTTCCATTCTTCAGTATAAATCAGAACTGTAGGGCTTTAGGCTAATACTTCAAATCAGCGGGCTAATTTTTTGTTTGAATATTATTAAAAGAAAACACTCTCCCCTATTCCTATGGCTTTGCTCAGCCTTTATTTCCGAGGTCGTGTGTTTCCCCTGGACCTTGGCATCATTCAGGTGATGTACCCATGGCAGCGATGAGAGAAACGCCTGACAACTGGCTGGGTTTCTCCCCACGTGGTGTCATGTCGCAGCCACACTGCACCTTCTCCCACCCAACGCCGTCTTAGCGCCAGCAGACAGTCCTTGAAATGGACGTTCCGTTATTGGCTTTCCCATTCTTCAGTTGATAGTTTCCTGTTGCTGGTAACCCCAAAATGAACATTTTCATTTATATAACTTTTCTTTTCATTGACTTCTTTTCTTGAGATCAGTTGAGGGCCTGACTGGAATTACTGAGTCAAAGATAAAGAACCTTTATTTGGGGTGGGAGGTGCTTGGCATGTTATGCTGCCAAATTGATTTCCAAAAGCGTTACACCAATAAAAACTCCCATCAACTCCACGGGGTGTCCCACCCTCTTATAAGATCCCTGTCAGCTCCAGTAATCTATGGGGAGCCAGTCCCTTTTGGAGGTGCCACTGTGCTTACATTTAAGCTCTTTCCAGTCAAGTTCAAAGCTGCAGTGACTTCACCCTCAACTGACTTCTTTGTCCTTGGCTGTGCAGATACCTGAGGCTGTCCCAGAACAACGTCCGAACCTTGCTCAAGCTCTGCAAAGACGCGGGAATGAACGTGGATATCCACCCCCACATGGTCGAAGGGGAGATAGACTCTAAAATGGTGTTTGCCCGAAACCCCACCGTAGCCCTCTGACGCGTCCTGCCCCTGGCCACCTCAGGCTCCCTCTGTGGTCACACCCTCGGCCACCAGAGGCCATCCTCTGGCACACCACCTGGCCTTCAGTCCAGGCACAGCCCCTTTAGACAGCAGTGATTAGAGAACAGGCCAAACCGCATGGCTCGTGGTGCTGTTGTAGCCTTTGCCCCCATCGGGTCACAACCAACTCAGGAGAGAACGGGCTGGTTCCCTGCTGAAAGAACCCTCCTTGGGAGGGGCTGCTTGGAGGGGAGTCTTAGCAGCAGTGAGAGAGGGAGGCCCAGAGTCCCCAGACGGACTTCAGGAGGGAGACGGGCTGGCTGAGAACACACACACCACGGGTCTTGCACACCACGGGACGAGGCTCTGTGGGGAGCGGGCCCTCTGGTGTGTCGGGTGGGGAGCTGATCGGGGGGTAGGAGAGACAGGACCTCTGTGAACGTGTGGAAACAAGGATTACTCACCTGAAAAGGAGGCACAGAGGGCGAGGAACGTGCTCAGAGTCGCACAGATGGGAAGCAGCAGGGCTGGGATTCGAGCTGTGTCCTCACCTCAGTCCCCACTCTGTCCTCTCACATGCTGGGAACGCTGGTACCTCTGTAGGACTGTTCAGAGACGGTCCCCATCCTGGAGCAACTGCCAGCGGAGGTCACAAGCCCAGGCCCTTGTAGTTTCTGCAAGCGTTTCAAGTAAGTTCAAATCCCAACTGCCCCACTTGCTAGCTGTGTGACTCAAGGCGAGTTACTTTACCTCTCTGTGCCTTTGTGTTCTCATCTGTGAAAGGGGCTAATAATAGAACCTGCCGAGCAGGGATGCCGTGAAGAGGAAATAGGAGCTTGCCCGTGAAGCATGAAACACAGACGTGGATGCACATTATAGAAGCTCAGTAACAATGTGAGCTGTTCCCATAGTCCCCTGCAGTGGACGAGGAGCGGACGTCCCAGCCCTGCTTTCCCAGAAAGAGCCTCAGAACTGGCCGTGTCGTTGTTGAGTCAAACTCTGATGAGCTGGTGTGTTTCCAGAGGGTGTGAAAACTGTGCCTCAGTGGTGGCTATTCACTCACTTAGCAAGTATTTACCGAACACTGATGTACAGGAACCACCACAGCTGCTGCGGATACAGCCTTGAACAAAAACAGACATCATTCTTGCTCTCATGGGGCTTACGTTCTAGCTGGGGAAACAAATAACATGCCCCTCAACAAAAATGATTTCGGCAGCTGATGAGAAGATAAACACGGGGTGGAGTGAAAGAAAAGGACTGCGCAGGGGGTCGGGGAGAGTGACTCAGTGAGGGTGTCCGTGAAGGCCTGCGATGTGGGGTGAGGAGGAGGAAGTGAGGTGCTGATTCAGGGGGCAGCTCCAGCACTAGGGACAGCAAAAGCGTGTCCAAGGGACAGAGAGGACGGTCACTGTGGCGAAGCCGAGTGCAGAAGGAGGGTCGGGAATCAGGCCTGGTATACTGTGGTCTGGAAATTGGAGTTCATTTGAATTGCAACAGGAAAGCACTGGGAGTGGTGGGCAGAGCACTGTGGGGAGATACTGTCAGGCGGAAAGGACGGCCTCGTGACGACGCAGGGAGGCGCATCGGGTAGCTGTGGCTGTGTAACACGTTATCCCCAAACATGGTTTAAACTGAATTGTTCATAAGTCACAGGTCACTTAAACAGTTCTTCTGACGTGCGCCAGGCTCAGCTGACCCAGGCTGGGCTCTCGTGTTAGTGGGTTAGCGAGCCGGTTAGCTGAGGGTTGGCTGGCCCAGGACGGCCTTGGCTGAGATGGCTGGCCTCTGCTCCACACAGCTCACCCTCTCACAGGCTGGCCTGGGCTTGTGCTCGCGGTGGCGGCAGGGTTCGAAGGAGCGTGCGAAGCTTGGGCTCACAGCTGGCACACTGTCACCTCATTGTAGTCCCTAGTGGCCAAAGCAGGTCCCAAGGTCAGCTCAGAGTCAAGAGTGGAGGTGCAGACGCTACCTATGGAAGGAAGGCGCTGCAGAGTCGCACGGCAAAGGGCCTAGATGCGGCGGAGGAAAGGCCCGGGGCCAGTTTTCCTCCGCCTCCCACAAGAGGCTATCACGTAGTTCAGGAAAGAAGTAAGAGCCTTAAAATAGTGGATGGTGGTGGGAGCAAGTTGAGAACGTTTTGGAGGTAGAACTGATGGAATTTGTCACTGGATTGGATGTAGACGTGAGGGAGAGAACATCCTGTGGCCAGAGTGACTGCTGGGTGCCTAAAATCATACGGGGAGGAGAGAGAGGGCGGAAGGCAGGCGCCCAGAGTCCGCTGGGGCTGGTTGGATGGGAGACGCCGTCAGCACCCACGGTGCTGTCCCAGCCATCAGGAGGAGCCCCTGGCCGGCGTCCAGCAGGAGAGGGGCGTGGTGAAGGGCAGACGGGAGGGCAAGCCCAGAGGGGGGCTGTGTTAGTGGCCCAGGCTTCCCGTAAAAAGACTGGGGGGCTGAAAAGCGCAGCCATTTATTTTCTCAGAGTTGTGGGAGCCACAAGTCCAAAGTCAAGGTGTCAGCAGGGCCACATTCCTTCTGAAGCCTCGAGAGCCGGAACCCTCCTCGCCTCTTCCAGCTCCTGGCGGCTGCAGGTGTCCTGGGCAGGTGGCAGCACCCCTCCAACCTCTGCCTCCGTCTTCACATAGCTGTCTTCTCTGTGTGTCTCTGTTCTTCTTGGAAGGACACCAGCCAGATTAAATCAGTGTCCACCCAAATGGCCTCATCGCACCTGATTATATCTGTAAAGACCCTGTTTCCAAACAAGGTCACATTCCAGGTACCAGGGGTAGAACTTCAACAGGACACAGAGAGACCAAAGGTGAGCAGGTGGAGGTCCAGAGAGGGGGTAGAAAGGTCCCCAGGATCCCCGAGTTCATGAGAGAGGTACTGGAACCCCCACTCCTGACACCCTCCCTGACCAGTACTCCCAGCCACACCCGGTTGCCCACACTGCCCACTGAAAGTGCCAGAACTTGGGCCCCAGCTGGTGGCCCCAGGAGGCAGACCTGTCACACTGCTCAAATACTCAGCCAGGGAGATTTTCCCCTGAGCCCCCAAGGCCCGGGTTCCTGGACTTGCTCATCAACAGGCACCCCCTTTCCACAGAGTGGAGTAATTTTAGCAGGACGTCAGCCCCAGCCCCTGCTGAGCAGACTGCCCCATCCTCGGGACTGCTTGGTGTGCCCAGACCTTCAAGGGGGAATTGCTGTGGGAACCCCACCTCTCAGACGCCAGATGCTGCTGGTTGCAGGCTTCCCTGGGTCCAGCCAGGCTGGAGAAGGGCGGGGAAGTAAATACAGGGAAGAGACTGCCCCACCCTCACTGCTGGGGCCTCCTGGGCCCTCGCTGGGGGTCCAGGGCTGTCGTGTGTGGACCCCACAGGCACAAGGAGCCTAGATTCAGCTTCCTGACGTTCTGACCTCATGAGCCCACTGTGAGCCTCCCCCCACCAACCACCCCCCAGACGAACAGAGAGCGTTGAGAAAGGGACGTTCATCAGAGCCCCCAGCCGGGTCCCAAGGGCAAATAGCACCGCCTACAACGGCCCTCCTCCAGGATTTCATACTCTTGGAGATGGCCTCTGAACAGTCCAGTTACACTGCATTTTCTCACAGAGGCATCACCACGAGAGACAGAGACCAACATTACACCAGGAGCACATCCACACCAGCCCCTGCTTACGATGTAGGTGGCACTTGGTGCAGCAGGGAAAAGGTGATCTCAATAAATCAGGCTGGTCAATTAAATATCCGTATGGGAAAAACAGCGACCCTCTGCCTCCCGCCATATGCAAAGAGCAATTCCGGGGGAAGCAGATTGTGAGAGCTTTAAAAGAAACAGACAACAATCTCTAGGACCTTGGGGTAGGCAAAAAAACTTCTGAACAGAACACAAAACGTCCCAACAATAAAATAGTAATAAATTATGTTATATTAAAAGTGAGAACTTCTGCTCATCAAAAGACATCACAGGGGTGGCCGGTTAGCTCAGGTAGTTAGAGCGCAGGCTGATAACACCAAGTTGCCAGTTCGATTCCCACCTGGGCCAAGAAGCTGCACCCTCCACAACTAGAATGAAGACAACTACTTGACTTGGAGCTGATGGGTCCTGGATAAACACACTTTTCCCAATAAAGAAAATTTCTTTAAAAAACCCCGATATCACAAAGGGAGTGAAAAGGCAAGTGATCCAAGTGGGAGGAGACATATGGGTTTATATCCAGGTGACATATTTTTAACTCCTGTAAGTCAATTTTTTAAGTATAAATATTCAACTTGGCATTCTAACCAAACTTCAGGTTTTTTTTAAGATTTTTTAAAATTATTTTTTTGTTATTGGGGAATTGGGGAAGGGGAACATTGTGTTTTCCCAGGACCCATCCACTCCAAGTCAAGTTGTTGTCCTTCAGTCTTAGTTGTGGAGGGTGCAGCTCAGCTTCAAGTCCAGCTGCCATTTTCAATCTAGGTGCGGGGAGAGGGCGGGGGGTGGGGAGTCGCGGGGCGCAGCCTTGTTGTTGCTCTCACCAGCTGAGCCATTCAACCGCCCATTGGCAGCTCAGTGCCAGCTCAGCTCGGGCACAGTTCACTGGCCCATGTGGGAGTCGAACCGGCGATGCTTCTACTCAGAGCTCATGCTCTAACCAACTGAGCCACCCAGCTGGTCCTATACGTCAATTTTTTAAAACGCAGGTAACAAGGAGTGGCTGGCTAGCTCAGTTGGTTAGAGCGCAGTGTTCGTAACACCAAGGTTGCTGGTTCGATCCCACATGGGCCACTGAGCTGCGCCCTCCACTACAATGAAACAACTGCTCGACTTGGAGCTGATGGGTCCTGGACAAACACGCTGTTCCCCAATAAAAATAATAAATAAATAAATAATAAATGGCACGTAACTCAATAGAAAAATGGGCAAACGTCACAAAAGAGGTCAGTCAAGTGACCCATACACATAAGGAATTTCCTTAGTCATCAGGAAATGCAAATGAAAAATTCCAGGCAGTCTCTGTAACACCTGGAGTGCTTGTTACACAGGTGTTCACTTGTGAAAATTCACTGAACTGTATGTACATGTGGGGTTTATGCCTTTTAGGCAGGTATACTGTACTTTAATTAAAAGTACATTTTAATGAAAGTATCCTAAATGTTTTTGTAACAGTTCTGGTTTTGTTTGCTAAAAACAGTGGGAGCCTCAGAAATGAGTGGTTCGGGTTTCCTCCACCTGAGGAGTGGAGGCGGCCAGGGACACGAACTCCCAGTTACAAGGCACAGAAGTCCTGAGGACGTCATGGGCAGCAGAGCGACTGTAGTTGATAAGGGGGTGCTGTATATTTGGGGGTTTCTAAGAGAGTGGGTCTTGAAAATTCTCATCGCCCAAAAAAAGTTTGTTGTACACCTGAAACTAATATAATGGAAGCCAATTATATCTCAAAATAATTAAATTAAATTTGATTTAAAATAAAATGAATAAAAAAAAAACACAGCAGGCCCCTCAAAAGCGAGGCAGTTCAGGTTTCCTCCCCTCCCCTCCCTTCTCCCCTCACCTCCTCATCCCTCCACAGCGGCAGTTTCCTCTCAGCGCCACCAGATGGGGCTCAATCACAGCGGAAGACTGCACCCACGCCTCTGAGCCCGGGGCTGGCGGAGCCCTCAGCCTCTGACCGCGGCAGCTGGGTCCCAGCCGAGTCCAGCCTGAGTCCAGCCCCGCTACTCACACACTAGCTGAGAGCCCCTGGGCACGTCACTTCTCTGAAGCTTCATTCAATCCTTCCCCAAACAGAGGCAAGAAATGCAATTTAAAACAACAATGAGGTATCACTCTACCTAATTAGACTGGAAAATGTTAGCAAGCTGGGGAAAGCCGCTGTGGCCCAGGAACGGAAATGAAGGAGGCCTCACGCTTGCTGGTGGGTAGTGCGGCTGTGCGGCCTTTCCTGGTGGCCCCACACATCACAGTGACGAGCAAGTCCACTCCTGGGGAAACAGCCCCAAGTTTTGTCCCAGGGGAGATGTGAGAGTGTTCCCGCGTGGACAGGTAGCTGGGTGCCCAGGGCAGTCCCCACCTGGGAAGGTAGATGGCAAAGCGTGGTGGGTGAAAAGGAAGGTTAACCTTCACAGAAACTAAAAATACATGTAAACAGTGCATCGCTCCTAGAATGTGTATAAATGCATTAGGACAGCTGGAATGGGATTAGGAAGGGAAGGACGGAGGGAGGGAGGGAGGGAGGGACGGGGGGAAAAATAAAATGTGGATGAGAATACCAAGTTTCTAGGGTTATTGTGAAAAGAAGAAAATCTAAGGAAAATTTCTTTAGCGTCTCTAGCACTACTATAGTGGGCACCCAGTACGTTATTTCCTACTTGTGACTTTATACATTAGCACTTACTGCATGCCTACTGTGTGTCAGGCAATGTGCTTGGCTCTATAATACAAGAAGGAGCAAAACAGAGCCCAAAGAAAAATTCTGGCCACGTGGCGCTGACATTCTAGTCGCTTTGAGCCTCATCCCACAAATGTGGGTATCAAAGAAATGACACCTTTTCCTAAGTCAGATTCCTATAAGCCTGATGCTGTACCCCTGCCATGCTGGACTGATGGAAAATTCCATTTCAGTCATCGTGGGGCTCCCTCTCTCATACCCCACGGTCCTGGGATGTCACACAGAGCAGCCCATCGAGGCATGTAGTAGGAGTCCCAGTATCTGGTGTCCGTCTACACTGGTCACTGCTGAATTACTACCGGTCACAGCCCACAGAAGCCGGAAGGCCCCAAAGGTGGGCCCCTCCACTGGCTCTGCACCGAGCTGCCTCCAGGGTTTCTGCGGGCGACGCCATGGCTATGACCCTGCTCCTGATACGGGCCACACAGCCATCTCTGTCGGGAAGGGCCCGTCACCTCCAGGACACTGTCAGCAACAAGGATACACTCACCCTGACACTGGCCTCTAAGAGCCCAGGCTACCAGGCCCCCTGCAGACACCTGCTCCTGGACCGGCAACAGGAACGCCCTGTGGCAGCTGAGCTGCAGAATTCCTCCTCGGGGAAGGTGGGGGACGGAGGGAGAAATGCAGAGACTCAAGCATGATGAATTCTCAGGTTTTTAAATTCTCCTCCAAGAGTGCAAACAAAACACAAATCAGAATCCCAGTAAGTAGCCCTGACATCCTTCCTACCTCTAGGTTTCTATTTAACACGCACTGGGCGAGCACAGGATGTGTGTCCTAGGTGCCTGGGGCCTTCAGGGAGTGGTGTGATGGGCGACGGTGGCGAGGTGGCTGTGCCAAGTGAGGTGTGTACCAACAAAGGCCGACTCTGGCAAAAAAGGAAAATGTGCATGTGTCCACACAGGCATGTGCATCTGTGTATGTGTGTATACGTACATATGTGTGCATACACATATATTGTCTGTGTGTACATGTGTGTTTCATATGTATACATGTGTGTATATAATACGTGTGTGTGTTATCAAGAAGTTTCTAGGAGCAGCCCGACCACGTCCTCTGCAGTGTCAAGGTCCCATCCGTTGGCCCAGGAAAGAGGGAGCCCCGTGAGAGACAGTCCCTCCCAGGCCACACACGAGGAGAAGAGGAAGGGAGTCCCCAGAGGGAACTGAGGTGCTTAGTAGTTGCCAGTCAGGAGCCGCGGAGCAGCTCAGCGGAGCGGTCCCGCCTTGGGGTTGCGCGTGAGGCTGTGGTCGAACTGTCGGTTGAGTTGCGGTCATCGGAAGGCCTGGCTGGGCTGCAGGACCCACTCTCGAGGCGGCCCACTCACGCGGTGGCTGGTTGGGCTGCTGTGGGGAGCAGGCCTCAGCGCCTTTCCACGTGGGCCTCTCCATGGGGCCGCCTGAGTGTCCCAACGGCATGGCGGCTGGCTTCCTCAGAGCCAGCAGCCCAAAGGAGAGCGAGGCAGAAGCTTCAAGGCCCTTTATGCCGTCACCTCGGAAGCCACACACTGTCACTGATGCGATGATCTGTCGGTCACACAGCTCGGCCCTATCCAGCGTGGGAGTGAACAACGGCCGTGAAGACCAGGAGTCCAGCGTCATTGGAGGCCATCGTGGGGACTGGCTGCCCCAGGGGCCATTATAGGAAGAAGGGTTCGTGGCGGTAAGGCCAGCAGAAGTAACAGACGCTGGGCACTGGAGCTCTGGAGGAATATGGAAGATGAGAGTGTCACACGCACAGCAACAGAAAGAGGAGCCCAAAGAAGCAGCAAGTACCCTTGGCCGGAGGAGTCACGGGAGGCTTCTCAGAGGAGGTGACATTTGAATTGGTCCTTGAGGGTAAGTAGAAGTTCACCAGCAGAGGTGGGAGGAAGGGCCCTCCAGGCAACAGCAGGACGCAGCGGCTGCGGAGTAGGTTCTGATGAGTGGGACAGGGGATGGGGCAGAAAAAGCCTTTGAACCCCGGAAGTGCTGCCTGCCTGTGGGGGCCCTGCCCCAGCCCTCCTTTGCCCTTGCGTCACGATAAGAGTCTGGTTGCTAGGGTAGAATGGGCTTGGTTTTTCTCCCACTTCTCCCAGCTAACTGGCCCTCTGGGAGGACAAGCCATGGGCCCCGCCCTTCCTGGAGAAAGGTGGGTCCCCTGCCGGGCCCTGCGCTCCACCCAACCGAGAGCCAGGACCCTGGCTCACTAGGCCCTGACCAGCCCCGCCATGCCCTCCCTTTTTCTGGGATTGGGGACAGCCAGTTAGGGCCCTACCAGCCCACTTGGCCATCCCCGAGCCCTTCACCCTCCTCCCCACTCCCCAGACACACCCACGAATTCTCACTGGCTCTAGGCCAGTGGGAGCTGCTTTGCCTGAGGCTCAGCCTCTCCCAGGACACGTTAGGCAGGCTTCGCTGGCCAGAGCAGGGTGAGCCTGGGGGAGGGAGACAGACTCAGGAGGCTTCACATTCCCAGAGGGGAGGGGCCATCTGGGCCCAGCTGGAGAAACAACAAAGGGTCGCACACAGCACCCCTCCACCCGCTCCCTGTGGTGGAAA